CCAGTGCACATCACTGGATTGAGAGGGGCTTAGGTAAATATTGGGGGGGGGGGAGGGGCTGCTGCACAGAGAAGGTTTTTTTTTACTTTCATGCATAGAATGCATGAAGATAAAAAAAAATCTTGAGCCTTTACAACACTTTAATGAACAAATAAAAAAATGCTCATATTATTAGAAAGCTAGAATAAGTCAGGAAATTAACAGCTAATGAAAGAAGGGGATGGATGAGTTAATTTTGGCTGATTAGAGTAAATTAAGGATTAATAAGGGGTTAAATAGAAACATTTTATTTATTTTTTACTTGTCCATTTGCTTTACCGGACTTCATATGTAGATCAAAATGTATCTCTTCGATTTCTAAATTTTTTTTTACAGATTACAAAATCTGAACGTAAAAATGTTATTTTGTATTTTTATCACACATCTAAACAGCATTTATAAACACTTTTAGAAGGTCTTTTTTTTTCCCTGACAGCAGCTGTAGCCACTGTACTTACACTGCAATTGAATTGTTGGCAAATACAGGGAGGGATGTGGCAGCATGGAGGAAGGACACCACCCACATCCAGTGTAGCTCAGTGAAGCTTTCTTGGATGTGTGTCACGCTTAATGTCCACAACTGGCGAATGATTTTGCTCATTTTGAATTTACATGGAACGAGAATCTTCTACTTTTTTTTTTTTATTGATAACAAAAATATGGTAAAAAGGTGACAAACAACATTTTTCCTCCTCTCATATTTATTATCTAAAAAAAAATCAATACACCACCAAAACTTCATGTAGAATAAAAGACTTTATTCACAATAGAATTTTACAAATATAATTCTTATAAATTGTGCATTTTAATCTATTACATATTCCCTAAACTTTTAGATCTATATAAAGGTGGAATGTAAAAATAAATTCCAATGCATAGAAAGAAAACAAATGGACTTGCTGCTAAAATCTGTAAACAGAATTAATGTTAACAATAACACTTGTGATTAGTTTCACAAACCCGTTTGATAAAAAAAAAAAAAAAAATTAAAAACGTATTGATAAGCATCATATGTTTTTTTAAGAACTGTGAATGCATATTTAAAAAAAACAATGTTTAAACAAATTGATTTGATCCAGTGTAACTCTGATGATAGTCTAAAGCTGGTTTATATATTCATGGGGCCAACCTAAAGAAAAGATACTTGTGCTTATTTGGCTATTAAAAACAACATTAACTCTATCACATGGATGATGGCACAAATTGTAGCTTGTGGTGTGTTTTGTATATGGCAGACTGGCTTTATTGGGGGTTTGAGAAATTGGTATTCATTTCCTGCAACTTTGATACACAAGATGAAAGGTCAAATTCTGTTTAGTCACATTGCAGGAAATACGTAACATTTAATTCCAGACTGTGAATTAGAAAGAAACAGACCAACATTTATGGAAGGTTTGGGAGAAAAATATTGAGGAAAAAAGCTGTATGCACAGATTGTTTCACAAAATTATTGCAGTTATGGGTTTTTAAGGAATGATACTTAAAATGGAACTCCAGCTAAAGACTTGTCTAAAGCATGTATAAAGTAAGAATAAGAATGAATTTAACTTATTTACTGCTGTAAACAGTATGTCTCCCCAGTGGGCTAAAGCCTGCTGTTGGCTGATGTGACTGAGCCAGCCCAGGCTTTGGAAAGATCCTGACTTTAAAGTCAAGATCCACCCAGATTCCTGGACTGGCAGCTGGCTCAGCCTCTCAGCAAGCTTCTCAAGAGCAGCGGAGCTAGCCGCTTCTGCCCCCATCCAGAACCTAGTGCTCCAGGGAGCGCTGGAGGGGCAGAGCAGAGAGCCTGACAGTCACCAGTTCTCTGCTCACTTAAGAGCGAGAGCTGAGTGATCAGTGGTGTTTGATTGCTCAGTTCTCAGTCTTAGAGGCTGCAGCTGTGATCAGTGATGCAGCCATCTAGATTATTTATTTTTTTTATTCCTGAACTTCTTTTGGGAGATAAAACAGAGAATCCTGCACATACTGCAGAGTTTTTTTGCACCAGATATCTACTTTAATGGTCTTTATCCTAACAGGGGCAGAGGCTGTAATAAAGGTGACAGGTTCTCGTCTTTCCCTATTCTATCCAAAAAAAAGTAACAATTTAAGATTTGCTTTTTGTGTTTCTATGAAAAGTGCTGGTTCTACTTTTGTTATTAAAATAGATTTTTAATTTAATTTATAAATGCCTGGAATTGGTCAAAGTACTGGAAACAAGAAATACAGAGCTAGTTGGATCAATTTCAGAAGCCCAAATACAATTCACTAATACCAGGAGGTGTGAAGAACCACACAACCAATGCACCCTCAAGAAAAATTTACCTCACTTTGCATGAGTTACATGTAATATGACAGATCATGGCAAAAAAAAAAGAAAAAAAATCTGAAAAGCAGCCCAGCTAGGGCAAACGTTTCAGGATTGTTCCAAGTTAGATGTGAGGTGTACATTGAGCATGCTGTCTCCCGCAAATGATTCATGGATTTTTAGATCAGAGGTGGTCAACATAAAAGGGCCCCAACATGTATACCGGGTCGCATGAAAGCTTACTTTTCACAGATTTGCCATTATGTTGCGAAATACACATTGATGTACGCAGAAAAAAAATTATGTTTGTGCAGAACTTTAATGCAACATTCTATGTATGTGCTGCACTAAAGCACAGTAAAATACATATTTTTCATGTGTTACCACAACATAATATTGCCTGCACTGGTGTGCGCACATTATGACGAGGACATATGACTTACAATTGCACTGTCCAATCAGGAGTGATCATCACAGAGCACATTCCACAATGAACAGCAAGAGAGAAGAGCTCATGTCTATGAGCCTTTAACCCTCTCTCAACCAATGTGAGGCTTTGCTAATACTCAATGCAGCCAGCACTGCCAAGATGCTGCAGACAGAATGCTGGCAGGCAATATGGGGCCTGTAGGCTGTATGTTGGGCACTAGGGTCTTTATTTATACACATTCATTTAAAGTTTGTGCAGTCAGCTAGGACATTTACGGCTGGGAGGACATTAGATCATTTTGGCACAGGAAAACCATGGCAGCATATGAAATGAGCTTCCTGTGTGGATAAAAGACATTCATAAAATCTAAGATGCTAAAAACTGGGAGTCTCAAGCCAAGTGACTTTACAGAGGTGGATTATTTTAACCACCTCCAAATGAGACAATACATGGGCAGTGGTCAAAAGGAATGCAGAAATGAAAATCAACAACCTATTTAAAGAGGACTGCTCACTTTACAGTCTTCATGCTGCCATGAAACACATCTTTAACTTTAGCCATTTGAACCAACTTATCTTTGTTAATTTGTAACATTTGCATTTTTGTTCAGAGAAATAAAACAGAAAACATTATGACAGATCCATATAAACAGTTTAGAATAGGAACACTTACAGAACATTACATCATTTATTGGTTTCAAGATTATGTGCCAGTACATACAAAGATCTAACACCACTGGCCTCTATGACCTAAGAAAGGGCCAGTTAAATTAGAAATAATTCAAATTTGTTTATAGCAATATGTAAATACCAAGGTGCTATAAAACTGTGTACACATCACAGGTTTGGTGGTTACGTGAACCCTCAATGCTGATGATGCACACAACATGTTAGAGTCATGGAGCTCCTTTTGACCTCTAACAAACATTAATGATTTCCTTCATTACACCAGTCTCAGTTTCTAGCATAATTAAACAATGTTGGGGTGTTCTTAATTGAAACAAGGTATTGACGCTCCTTTTCTAAACTGCACTAGAAAATTAAAAGTATGGATTTCTCTTTTACCTTATTTACCCAGACCTAACATAATGGAAGTCAATAAACTGGATTTTGTGAATGCTGCCCCACAAGCATCTTTATTGAACATCCAGTATGCTCCTATTTTAATTTTCAGAGTTCGCAAACAAGCAGCAGATATTTGAAACAAAATCTTTCATGACAAATCTGCAGTCTCCAGTTTTAGTATTCCAAGTTGATCAAATTCCCTTAGTTGACAGATCCAGCTCAGTCTTAACTTCCTTTAAGAAGTTTAAATGTAGGAGGTCCACAGACATTTCAATGCTCGAAGAGAAGGAAAAAAAAAAAAAAAGCCGAAATGGAATTTTTAGATACAAAGGATGAGCAATCTTTCCCTAGGAAAAATAATCTGAACATATTAAAAATTATTTTATTTGCACAACCTGGATTGTCTATAGATCAGATATATAGATATTTCTATATTTTTTATATTCAAAATACTTTCAGAACAGCTTAAAATAATAGATCAGGTCACTAATCAGTTAACACAGGCAAGAAACAAACAAAAAAAAAAAAAAATATTGCCAAAAAAACAAACAAAAATGTATCATTGCCAAAAAAGAGGAATGCCTGCATGATAATATTTTTGTCCTGCTTTCATAAAAAAACAAATTCTTCTGAACATTTTACCAAAGAAAACCCGCATAATAGGAAAGGTGTCACAGTTACACAATTTGTCTCAGAAGAATTTCAGACAAATCAGATTCACATATAACTGGAAAGAAAAAAGTTCTTTTATACTATTCTTTATGGCTTTTTGCAACATGGCAAAATATTACAGCATAAAGCAGACAATCTCCTCACAGAGGAGGAAGGATCTTTGCAGTCAAATGAAAGGAAAGAATTGGTAACTAAAAGTGCAGACTTTCTATATGATCTCTTCTCTTCTATATGGCAAGTGATGATTGTCTAGCTAACTAAATGTAATGTCCACAGGGAAAGGTGCTTTTGATTCACAATCAGTTGGAAGATCACAATGGAATGGCTTTAGAATCATCCAGGAATCTCAGAGTAAACATGACAGACTGCAAATATTGGAATACAACTTCAAGAAAAGAAACCTGTTGACATGAAGGATGTTTGTCCTGAAATCAGTCAAATGGACTACTGAAGGAATGCAGTGAATGAAAATGTATAAAAAAGAAAAAAGCAATTGGAATTGCTTTTATTTAGCCAAGCCTTCTATCGTTCTGTCAGTTTTTCGGTTGATGGGCAATGGATGCGCCTCAGTGTTGAAAATCCAATGTTCTAATGGTAGAAGCTCATCGTCCGAAAATAATAAGTAGAGATATCTGAAAGGGAAAAGCAGAGGATATAGATAAGAAATGTTGCATTTGTCTAACCTTTAGCATCCTTGGAGTAACATTAAATACATTAAAAAACATTAAACCTGACAGTAAACTGATTGTAAACAGTAATGGGTGCTGCAATTACTTTATTTTCAAATGCAGAAGAAAGTAATCTGTGACTGAGATAAATCAAGGTGGGTGTACACACAACAGATTTCACATCACTGCAGGAGACTTGGGGCAGGTAAAACAATGGAAAAGTAATCCGGACTCAAACAAACCCATAGTTCAACTTTTACCAACCTCAACATTAGTCAGCAGCAGTGGGCAATGCTTAGAATAGATTTGAAATTCACTCTAAAATGAGAACAGCTATGCAAACATATTAAATGGTAGACAGGACAAGTCTGACCACAGGCCACATTTTTTCCTCACTATGAACACTAAATCATAAGACAGTTAAGCATTAAGAACTTGACTTTAAAGAGATGCTGCCATTTGTACTTCAGAAAGTGCTGGTTGTCTGAATAACATGCTGATAACTCTGGTTTCATTAGGTAATAGTGTTCCTGACCAACAAATGTCAGTGATTAGCATTTTCCTTTTTCCAGTCACAGCACCCTTTATTAGTACACAAAATCTCAAGGCACCCCAGGTAAAGTATACAAAATGGGGCCTTCATTTGGTGGTAAATGCACACCATTGTTTTTTGGCCCAACTATGGGGTGAAAACACCCCACAAATAATACACACATATGTGGTATACCATGCACATTAGGAGAAGGAAACTTATTTTAGTTTTTTTTTGGTGGTAAGTCATTGTAAGGACATGAAAATGTACTGCTAAATTTAAATCTATTTGTACCCCTTATTGAAAACACATTAACAGACATGATCATATAACAAGTGCCAGTCTTACTGGCTCCCAATCATTACCCTGAGACCAGGAGCAGTCTGCAATAGCACAATCTCCATGGAGCATGATGGTGCGCACTCCCAGTGCAACGATACACAACATATATGTGGCACTTTGTATATATGCGTTATGCCATTGTCAGGGATGCGGTTTAACATTGCCCCTGATGAGCCCAGACCGCACCATGGTTCAGAAAGGCTGGGCCAAGTAGTGAATCAAAAGGATCAGCATTATAACTAGGCAATTAGCATCTTAAAATTCACTCCACTAAAAGTGCCCTACTAAAACCCACTGATGATTTACTAACTGCTAAAACTAATGGCCACTACTCTATACTCTTACTACTTGACCTCTCTGTGGCTTTTGATACTGTTGACCATCCCCTCCTCCTCAAAAAACTCCACTCTTTTAGACTCCGAGACACTGCTCTCTCCTGGTTCTCCTCCTACTTATAGCAGCGCTCCTTCAGTGTTACCTATAATTCTGTCTCCTCCTCTCCACTTCCTCTTTCTGTAGGGGTCCATCAAGGTTCTGTCCTTGGACCCCTTCTCTTCTCCATCTAAACCTCCTCCCTTGGTCACTTGATAAACTCCCATGGCTTTAAGTACAATCTCTATGCTGATGACACACAAATCTATCTTTCTACTCCTCACCTCACCCCTTCAGTCTCCTCTCGCATCACTAACCTACTAAGCGACATATCAGCATGGATGTCACTCCATTTCCTCAAACTAAATATTTCTAAAACTGAGCTCTTAGTATTCCCCCCAGCCCGTGCCCCCTCCCCTGACCTCTCCATCAAGATCAATAATACAACCATCAGTCCCTCCCCTCATGCCAGGGTACTAGGTGTAATCCTAGACTCCTATCTGTCCTTTCAGCCCCAAAATCTTGTAGACTTCACCCCCACAACATCTCCAAGATATGCCCGTTCTTAACCTCTGAAACCACTAAGCAACTTATTCACTGCCTTGTTATCTCTCACCTTGACTATTGTAACTGCCTCCTCATTGGCCTACCTCATCGCAGGCTATCCCCTCCTCAGTCTATCATGAATGCTGCTGCCAGACTCATCCATCTTACTAACCATTCCATATCTGCCTTCCCTCCACTGGCTTCCCATTGACTAACGAATAAAATTCAAAACATTAACATATAAAGCCTTTTGTAACTCTGCCCCAAATTACATCACATCACCAATCTGGTCTCCAAATATCACCCAAACTGTCCTCTCCTCGTACAACCTCCTGCTCTCTAGCTCTCTTGTCTCCACCTCCCATGCTAATCTCTAGGACTTCGCCAGAGCCTCCCCCATCCTCTGGAACTCTCTACCCCAATCTGACTATCACCTACTCTGCCCACTTTTAGGCGACCTCTGAAAACCTCTCTTCAGGGAAGCCTATCCCACCTTCAGCTAATAATGGAATCTTCATTCCTTTTATCAGTTCATCCCCCAAAGCTATTACCTTTTGTACCACCAGCCCCTCCCTCTTAGATTGTAAACTCTGCGGAGCAGAGCCCTCCTAACCCTCTTGTATTGCACTGTATCATTGCTGTATTGTCTCCCTTTATATTGTTATTATATAAGCGCTGAGCAAACAGTTGCCGCTAAATAAATCCTGTATAATAATAATAATAATAAAATATTGAATTTCTAATTAGCAGATCATAGGACTGCTTTTTCTAACCCTGTCTAACACAAAGCACCCCCCCACCCCATAAAAGAAGTTGAATAATTCTTGTTTTTACCGGACCACAGAGAAAAACAAACATTCAGCATCTGTCCCCTCACCCCTTATTCAATAAACATGTAGCAACACAATGAAAACAGAGACTTTAACAGGTACCTTCTATATACAATCAGTTAATTTACAAGATATAAGATAATTGTGCACATTTCAATAGCATCTTTTGGGTTGGTAATGCCATTTCAGTCCATATTTGTATTTTTAACCACATGCCACCCAGCCACTGTAGAAACACGGCGGCAGGGCAAAACCATGTTTTAAAACGTGTGTTTGCAAAACAGGTAGGGGGCGTGCACAAAGCGCGCCACCGCCCTCCCTGTCCCGCCGATCACGGCCGCGGATGTCAGTCGCCGGGTCACAGCCGGTCGTTACCGGCTGTGTCCCGCTGATTAGCGGCAATCACTGACAGAGAGCAGGGCTGCAGTAGCTCTGCTTTCTGTCAGTTCCCTGTCAGCTCCTGACATGCTGAGCCGGAGAGAAGAGTTTCTCTCTCCTGATCAGCGTGTCCCGTGCAGTACACACCCCCGCCCTCTAGTAAAATACTCCCCTCACACAGTTAACCCTTTCAGTAAATAAAAAAAGTTAACCCCTTCCTCCCCAGTGCCATTAGTACAGTGTCAGTGTTTTTTTTTTTGCACTGATCACTGTATTGGTGTCACTGGGGATGTCAGTGTCCCCAAGTCTGTTCCCCCCCAGTGTGAGAATGTCCGCCGCAGTCCCGCCATAAGTCGATGATCGCCGTCATAAGTCACTGATCGTCGCTATTATTAGTATAAAAAAATGTAAAATCCCAGTATCTTTCCCGCCATTTGTAAATGATATAGCTTTCACGTAAACCAATTTACACGTATTTTTTTTTTTTTTTTTTTAGCAAAGACATGTTGCAGAATGCATTTTGGCCGAAATTGATTTTTAAATTTTTTTTACTGGACATGTTTTATAGCAAAAAGTCCAAAATATTGTTTTTTTTTTTCTCAAAATTGTCAGCCTTTTTTTTTTTTTTTATAGCGCAAAAAATAAAAACACACAGGCGATCAAATGCCACCAAAAGAAAGCTCTATTTGTGTGATAAAAAGGACATAAATTTCATTTATGTACCGAATTGCATCACCGCGCAATTGTCCATAAAGTAGCACAGCGCTGTATAGCAAAAAAATGGAGTAAATTGCAGTATCTATACCATAGTCTGTAGACACTATAACTTTCAAACAAAGCAATCAATATACACTTATTGGGATTTTTTTTTACCAAAAACATGTATCAGAATACATTTTGGCCTAAATTTATAACTAACTTTGAGTTTACTATATATTTTTTATAGCTGAAAGTAAAAAATATTGTTTTTCTTCAAAATTTTTGGTCTTTTTTTGTTTATAGCGTGAAAAATAAAAAGCGCACAGGTGATCAAATACCACTGAAAGAAAGCTCTATTTGTGTGAAAAACAGGACGTAAATTTTGTTTGGGTGTAGCATTGCATGACCGCACAATTATCAGTTGAATTAGTGCAGCGCCGAGTAGCAAAAAGAGGCCTGGTCATTAAGGGGGGTAAATCCTCAGGAGGGCAATTAACAATTCTCCATTTCACATTGCTAGACATTTGCTGCAAGTTATACTTTACACATTGATGTTAAACAGTAGTGATTCAATCATTCCATAAATTCAAATTATTCCTCAACACATTTCATGAACAATGTTCACTTCTTCAGGAGAATATTAACATTGGATATGAATCTACAATGTACAAATAAACATACAAAACAAATTGTCAGTTTACAACCTCTGTATACCAAGAATTATTTTCAGCCACTATAAAATCTGGGTGCCATACTTGTGCAAGAGTCTGACCAGCTTCAATGAAAAAGTGAAGCAGCAGAACCCTCAGTGGATATTTCTACAGGGACAAATTAATCCCATTATAGTGTATTGAGTCAAAAGGTAAGAATTATCACAATTTGTTTGGACAAATGGCTTACACTCCTATACACCAGAAACAAGTGTTCTCATCCCCCTACCTTAAAGGAGGATTATAAACCAGGGCCAAGAATTGCCCAGAGATGGACTCATTGTGGTCCTGGGTTCCTATATGGTAGTGATCCAAGTAGATTTGGATCAAGTCAGCCTCAGATTACTAAAAGTTTCAACTCTGTATATGGGTCATATAGGTTTTCCCATACAATCCTTGAATGTTAACCCCTAACCTCAGTGATATATTACATAGGAAATCGTCACAATTCCCCATATAGTAATTAAAAACTATGGTTTGATATCCAATACACATGGGCGCATATACCAATGTGTCAACACTAAAGTACAAACAATAGCAGCCTCAGAAATTACCAGTGCATCCAAACAGGTTAACAAAGAAGTATGAACTAGAATGCCATCGAAGTATGAAGAGTGTGTGTGTGTGTGTGGGGGGGGGTTCTAGAGCATTTAGATACAAACTATAAAATATAAGGAAGTCCCAGGTTCAAATTAACCCCCAAGAAAGTGACTCACAGAGAACCAATATAAATCTTCCATGTGACAACCATTCCTGTTAACCAACCAGACAAGGTCATGTAAAAAACCTATACGTGCTATATAGTGAAGCAGAAAGCATTCCTATTCATGTAAAAGTCCCATATGGTCCAGTCCTACCTAATTAAAAAAAAACGAAGTCACCGCATCGCACTTGTATATGTTCATGTGAAAGGTTATACAGGTACTCCCTTAAATATCCTGTGTGGCCAGTGTCCTACCACATGCTGCCAACTGTGCAAAGATCGTGTCTTTGCCCACGCAGTGCTAGGTTATGCCATTAGTAGCTTTTCCATGCATGTCAGTGTCATCACATACAGCACAGTGAAGTCAGGTGCACAAGTGTAGTGAAGAGAGGAAAAATTAATAAAACTGTGCCACCAATGTACACAGGATATGCATGTCCAACAAGAAGAAAGAGTTCCCTTAAAGCTGCACCCCTGAAGTATGAAAGCACAAAAAGAAACCAGCTTCTCGGGACTAGCCCAGGCTAATTTCCCATTTGCCCTAACCATGGAGACACCAACTATCCCCCATAAGGTGCTAGAAATAGCCTGGCCTAGCAGATACCTAGAGTTTTTGGAAACTCTTGATGATTCTGGGATAGGGGAAAGTAGGCTATTTGTGCTAATAAATTGTGAATTTGTACCTATTGACTAAATTACACTATAATGGGATGAACTTGAACTGGGTTATTCTGCTGCTCTCCTTCTCGGGTCCATTGAAGCTGGTCAGACTCTCGCACAAGTATAGCACCCTGATTTTATAGTGGCTGAAAATATTCCTAGATATTCAGAAATTTATTAATGTAGTACAGTATAAAGAAGGTTTGTATATGGACAAAAATTTATAAATCGGTTTGCGATTTGTGCATTATAGATTCATATGCTATGTTCGTATCCTCCTGAAGATGTTAAAGCTGTTCATGAAACGTGTTGAGGAAATAATTCAGATTTATGAAATGACTTGCATCACTTTTTAATTTCAATGTGTGAAGCATACCTTGCAGCAAATATCCAGCTAAATTCATAGCAGTATGAAATGAATTATGAACTTTAAATTGCTGTATAAATAAAATGACATTTTAGATTGTTTTCTGTAACTGACTGTTTAGAAGGTACTTGCTAAAGTCCCACTATCTGTTGATATATACATATCGGGGAAAAAAAAAGAAAAAAAAAAAAAAAAAGTTCCCATCCCTACTGTGCTAAAGCAGGGAAAGGTGTGTGTACATATCCTTTACAACTTTACTACAGAACAACCCCACCTGTACTGGTCATTGTAAATGTATACAGGGATCCAAAAGGCAGCTATCAGACCCTCCAGGGTTCTCTAGAACTGTTAAAATGCATCTCTTACTAACAAGACATATTGATTTTCTATGATCCTTAGCACCATCTACTGGTCATAATGCAGTATTTTCTCATTTTATGTTCCTTATTTACAAATATTGCTAGAGTCATATATATCTCACAACACGTACCTGAATAGTTAATTGAGCAGGTGAGGGACAGATGTCTAATGAGTCTCTATGACACTTTAGGAATTTCCTAGAGTGTGTGCGCTATCCATCTATATTCTGCAAACAGGTGCTTCTAATTTTTAACCAGAAGTCAGGATAAAAGCCTGCGATCATCTGCTCCACTACTGAAAACACTAAATACCGGCTTGTTCCCACATACTTACTTGAGTGTCTCTGCAAGGAAAAAACTTTGCTGCACATCATCATGGCTTGGGTGTATAGCGTAAACATCTCTGACTCCAGAATAGCCTGCTTCTACGTGGCAGAATTTTTCTAAAGCCTGACAACAACAAGAACACAATCAGGCTACTGCACATGAATCTGTCAATGTTTCGATTAACCTGCAAAATCCAATTACCTTTCACATTTCTGCCAATTGAAAGTACCTTGTTACAAATAATATGGGCATGGTTTCAATTTACAAAGACAGATAAGAAAAAAAAAGAAGATGATGTATGCTACTTTTTTTAGGCAGCAAGTCAATTAACACTGCCAGGTTTTAGTGACATTTTGAATTTACAGTTGTACTATATTAGAACATTAGTATAATAAGATTCATTGAGATGCATACAAATTCCCACTAAGACCAAAACTTAACATGCTGAAACGGTGTCCATGCAAAATTGAATACCTTGTTCAAAGATTTAAAACGTGTACAGCTCTGTATACATGCCAAGTACTGGATTCATTTTTAAAGCTTTAAAGTGTTACTAAACCCAGGACCCTGCTTTCACTATATCTGGTCTCCCACAGTACATGGAAGCGCAATTATTTTAGTAAATATAAACTGCTAAATACTTTTTCTTATCAGCAGTTGGAGCAGTCTTGTGACTTCTATCAGTGCCCAGCAGAGCACTGGGTAAAGTTTGTAGGAGTTTTCATTCTCCTCTAGGAGGATGCAGAACCCCTGACCTCGGTCTGGAGAGTGCGGATTGGCCCTGTGATGATCACATGCACTCTCCCAGCGGAAAAAAAAAAAAAACTCTTGAGAAATTAACACTAAACTGAGCATGTGCAGAGTGACTGCAAACCTCTGTTCTATCAGAAAATATTTAGGGGACAATGAAAGAAGGGGAAGATCAGAGAAGACAGGATCAAACATCCTTTTTACACAATGTGGACAATTAACCTCTTAGGTTCCACAGTGAGTATAACACACATGCTTTACTGATTTTATGTTTGTGGGTTTAGTAATAGTTGAAGGTAAAAAAAATCTTGAGCTTTTAGAACCACTTTCATGCATTCTATACAAACCTCTGTGCAGCATCCCCGCCAGCTCCCCCTAATACTCACTTAAGCCCCCTCTTGGTCCTGCGATGTACATTGGAGTCTTGATTATCCCGGGACTCCTCACTGGCTGAGACAGAAGCGGGAGCCATTGGCTCCCACTGCGGTCAATCACAGCCAGTTAGCCAATGAGGAGAGGGGGGTGAAGCCAAGCCGCAGCTCCAGGTGTGAATGGACATACGGAGCAGCGAGTGCCCCCATAGCAAGCTGCTTGCTGTGGGGACACCTGACAGGAGGGAGGGGCTAGGAGCTCTGACAGGGGACCTGAGAAGAGGAGGATTCAGGCCGCTGTGTGTGCAAAACCACTGCACATAGCAGGTAAGTATAGACATATTTGTTATTTTTTTTCTTTAAAAAAATAAGCCTTTAGAATCACTTTAATTAAATGACATAGAACAGTATTAATGTTCAATACTGTATACAATATAAAATATTTTTATCTACAACTCAGTGATATCAATATGGGTACAGCTTTTATGGCACTCTGCTTATGTACACTAATGCAAATTTGTTAACATACTCCCAATTTACTGCAGCTGGTGAGAAAACCTATTCCCAAAAAAGTGACCCTGAATAAGCTGGGAGCATTGTAAAACACTTGTTAATGAGATACCACATTCAACCATTATACAAGTCATAAAAACAATTGTGGAGGAAACAGGGGTGGTTGGGCACTATGCAGATGTCAGCATTTGCAATCAATATACAAAATATTGCATCCTGCATTGTCTAATTGTAATTCACATTCAGAACTTCTACTTCTTTTAGATTTGCTGTACTTGATAGCAAAAATGTGTTAAAACCCCACATGCGCATGTACAACCCCCAAGCAAAACTATGCAGCCAACCTCAATAGAAGTACAGCAAATTGAAGATATTTTATAGAAAACGAGAAAAAAAATATCCTTCTTTGTTGGAAACGGTTACCTTAATTTTAAGAAAAATCCATAAGCGTATTAAAATTTATTTCTGTAAAATTAATTTTCAGACTCAGATTGTAGCTTGCAGAAATCCTTATCAGGTACTTGAAAACAATAATCAGTTAAACGAAAAAAAGAAACCATTCATTTAGCAGGAAGCTTTCTAAGTGTGACTTCCAATCAGCATGAAATATTAACTAAGCTCAAGGAAGGCTCTTGATTTGTTGCCTTTTCAATTAGAAATTACATTAAATAAATCTAATTGAAATGTTACAGGGAATTGATTTCATAGAAATAAAGTTGAGTGTTCAAAGGTCTTGTCTTTTGGCTGATAGTATGTACATTCAGAGAAACAGCAATTTTTTATTTTCATACTGTATTAAAATGGGGATTATTAAAGCAAAATGCAAGTTTTAAAGAGGTAAATTTTCAGAGATCAATACATCTGCAGAAAATGCAGTATTGATGAACATGTAATGTGTCTTATAGATGTGTTTAACATGCAGAGACTATGTTCCATGCTCTCAAAGTCACTCTAATAGAGCAATGGTAAGAACACTTCTCAACACTTATTTTATATGTTGAAGTCCACTTTCCTCAGATGAAGGCAGAGTTTCTTGGTTAGGCAAATGCATTATAAATGCAAATTAATATGTAACGTTATACCCTTGGTGACTGATAAAATAGGAATACATATGTACTACTGGGAGATGATTTACAGTATGAAAACTTTGAAAGCAATGCCTTATCAGTACCAAAGACTTTCTCCATCCTAAACAAAGGAAACAGAGAAGCACACACACACAGCACACTATGTAAAACAGCACACAACACAGTTAACCTTTGATCGCCCCACATGTTAACTCCTTCAAGCCCAGTGCCATTAGCACTGATCAATGTATTGGTATCACTGGGGATGTCAGTGACACCAAGTCAGGTTCCCCCCAGTGTCACAATGCCCACTGCAATCCCGCTATAATTCGCCGATAGTCACCATTACTAGTATTAAAAAAAAAAATCCCAGTACATGTAATCGCCATTTGTAAACGCTATAACTTTTACGTAAACAATTTAATTTATATGTATTGGGATTATTTTAGCAAAGACATGTAGCAGAATACACTTTGGTCTAAATTTATTATGAAATTTGATTTAAATGTTTTTACTGGATATGTTTAATAGCAAAAAGTCAAAAATATTGTTTTTATCCCAAAATTGTTGGTCTTTTGTTTATAGTACAAGAAATAAATGCAGAGGCAAACAAATACCACCGAAAGAAAGCTCTATTTGTGGGGGAAAAAGGATGTAAATTTCAATTGAGTGAAGCGTTGCATGACTGCGCAATTGTTAAAGTAACAGCGCCGTATCGCAAAAAATGGCCTGGTCAGGAAGGGGGGTAAATCCTCTGGAGGGCAAGTGGTTAAGGAATCCAAAGCTATGACTTGCTTACATTTGCCATTATGAATGCCTTAGCTTAAGTCACTTTTTTCATAACTGTTAAGTAAAAAAAAAAAAAAAAATTAAAAAAAAAAAAAAAAAAATCAGTTTACTGAAAAACAAAGCATTTGAAGCCATTACAGAGTAAATAATTTAATACGTTTGCTTACCTACAACTATTCTTACTGCATTACATGGTATTGCCACTTACCTATATTTATTACAGTGCCTTGAAAAAGTATTCATACCCCTTGAAATTTTCCACATTTTGTCATGTTGCAACCATAAACGTAAATGTATTTTATTGGGGTTTTATGTGATAAACCAACACAAAGTGGCATATAATTGTGAAGTGGAACAAAAATGATAAATGGTTTTCAACATTTTTTACAAATAAATATCTAAAAAGTGTGGTGTGCATTTGTATTCAGCCCCCTTTACTCTAATACCCCTAACTAAAATCTAATGGAACCAATTGCCTTCAGGAGTCACCTAATTAGTAAATGGAGTCCACCTGTGTGTAATTTAATCTCAATATAAATACAGCTGTTCTGTAAAGCCCTCAAAGGTTTGTTAGAAAACATTAGTTAACAAAAAGCATCATGAAGGCCAAGGAACACACCAGACAGGTCAGTGATAAAGTTGTGGAGAAGTTTAAAGCCTGGTTAGGTTATAAAAATAAAAAAAAAAAATATCCCAAGCTTTGAATATCTCATGGAGCACTGTTCAATCCTTCTTCCGAAAATGGAAAGAGAATGGCACAACTGAAAACCTACCAAGACATGGCCGTCCACCTCAACTGACAGACTGGGCAAGGAGAGCATTAATCAGAAAAGCAGACAAAAAGCCCATGGTAACTCTGGAGGAGCTGCAGAGATCCACAGCTCAGTGGGAGAATCTGTCCACAGGACAACTATTAGTCATGCACTCCACAAATCTGGCCTTTATGGAAGAGTGCCAAGAAGAAAGCCATAAGTTGTCCCGTTTGCAAGAACCCATGTGGGAGACACAGTAAACATGTGGAAGAAGGTGCTCTGGTCAGATGAGACCAAAATTTAACTTTTTGGCCTAAAAGCAAAACACTGTGTGGCAGAAAACGAACACTGCACATCACCCTGAACTCACCATACCCACCGTGAAACATGGCGGTGGCAGCAACATGTTGTGGGGATGCTTTTCTTTATCAGGGACAGGGAAGTTGGTCAGAGTTGATGGAAAGATGGATGGAGCCAAATACAGGGCAATCTTAGAAGAAAACCTGTTAGAGTCTGCAAATGACTTGAGACTGGGGTGGAGGTTCACCTTCCAGCAAGACAACGACCCTAAACATACAGTCAGATACAATGGAATGGTTTAGATCAAAGCATATTCACGTGTTAGAATGGCTCAAAGTCCAGACCTGAATCCAAATGAGAATCTGTGGCAAGACTTGAAAGTTGCTGTTTTTCAAAGAACAATGGGCAAAAATTTCACTCTTTAGATGTGCAAATTTGGTAGAGATATCCCCAAAAAGACTTGCAGCTGTAATTGCAGTGAAACGTCATTCTACAAAGTATTGACTCAGGGGGGCTGAATACAAATGCACGCCATGCTTTTCAGATATTTATTTATAAACATTTTTGAAAACCACTTATTTTCCTTCCAGTTCACAATTATGTGCCACTTTGTGTTGGTCTATCACATAAAATCCAAATAAAATACATTTATCTTTTTGGCTGTAACATGACAAAATGTGGAAAATTTCAAGGGGTATAAATACTTTTTCAAGGCACTGTACATCTAACTCTTCTGTAGAAATCCAAAAGACCTGAGCCTGCTGCTGGGTACCACCATCTTGGAATAATGTCAGCAGCCCCAGAACTTTCATTCAAGTAAAGGAAAGGACTGAGCAGCTTGGCCAGCACAAATTGTACACTCCAAGAAAAGGAGAGAGCTATGACATGTGCAAAGAAGGATGAGGCTGTACTAGGGAATGGACTCTTCTGTGGGAATCACATTTCTTGGCAAGCTCAAAGGCACATTGCACATGAATAAATATAGTTTATAGGAAGGAAAAATGCCACAAGCAAACATTTAATATAATTGATTTTTTGCGCTTTTTACCTGCAAGTGTTTATGTTGGTGACAGGATCTCTTAAAGGTGCTTTATCATTTACTGTATACATGTTTTCTTGCCCAAGTGATGCATTATTTAGATGTTGATTACAGAGCAGCAAATGCATAACTGTAGACCTCTAGAACAAGGCAATCAATATTCTTTAATCATGCTCTACATTAGTTGGGAATCAACAAGGTGCTGACCATTTATCAAAAGTGCTTCCCTATGGACATTATCCACTAAATCCATTTACCTTCATTCTTTTTATTGCCTAATCATGTCTGCATACCACAATAATATTGTTTATCCCCAATATGCTTTTGTCAGGAGTATTTTACATTTAAATTTAAAAGACAAGTGCATTTCTCCCTGATCGCAGACCATCTTGTCTAACAATGCCTTGGTACACATTCCAGCAATTTTCTCTATGTTGCTCAACTCAGACGTTGCACAGACCAGTTCTCATCCTCCTGTACATGCATGCCACTTAATTTATTCCTATAGGACAGTGTTTCTCAACCTTTTTCCAATTATGGCACCCTTAAAAAGTATTTTCAGTCTCAAGGCACCTCAGTCTAAGGAATGCCCCACATACCTCTTTAGCTCCAGACAGCTCATGCATATTTGAAATAAAATACGTAATGAAAGCAAGATTATTTAATAGGGGCAATGCGATAATCGTAATTTGTAAATTGCTTTGATGCTATAATATCCTATCCTACAATGCCAGCATTACAATTTGCTTTTCTTTCCCCTTAGTTTCATCTTTAAAATCTATGTTTATAGTAAAAATATAGGATGATTGGATAGGCAAGGACAATAATTAGATTAGCTGGTAAAATGCATAATGCTTGCTTAGTATTGAATAAAAAGCTTTACTTACACAGGACAATCTTAAGAGAATTTATTTTGGCGCATGTGTGGTGGTTGAGCGGGCCCACACAAGTGCAGTAGCAGACCAGGACACATCTGCACTTCACAAACAATACTCCTGCTTGCTAACCTGCACAACTGCTCTAGATAAGGAGGAGGACAAGCATAGGAAGGAGGGCTGGCAGGCTGTTTATAAGTTTTCCCCTGCTCCCACAACTCCCCTCACCTATCAAAACCCTGCCTGCCCCACCACCTACTCCTGCTTTCAACACTCTGCAGCCCCCTGGTCTTATCACTCTGCCCTGCATGCTCACCACTTTCGCATCCCTTTCCACCCTGGGCCCCTTCTTTACAACTCTACCGCACGCCTACCCCAAGGTAGAGCACTTGAACCTGCACCCTTCTCTCACCATTTCCAAATGACTCTTCCCCCATCCTCTCTCTCTCTCTCTACTCTTGACTACCCACTTCTGCTCTCATTGTACTGCAACCCCACACACCCTCTCTGTTCTTACACTCTTCCCTCCCCTCCTCACCCACCACTTTTTCCACTACCTCACCATCCATCCTTGTTCCTAGCACTTTTCCCCATGTACCAGCCTCCCCACCTACGGCTAGGAGTTGGTCTATGTACTCTTGGTTCATCATGAACAAATTTTACAGTATTGTGCTCACTCATGCATGTTTGGTTCAGAAGTTTTGATATAGAAAGCATGCTGAACCCACAGGGCCTAGTATGGGAAGACTCCCCCTCCCTCCACCACATCAGTGGCTGTTATTCTACCAGCACCATCTCATACTCCCCATCCCCAGATCACGACTGTTCCTGTGCATCCCCCCTTTCCCAAACCTACTATAGCCACTGTACTTGCCATCACCTCAGTTTATCTGTTCTCATCACCACAGCTACCACAATCTCAACCACCCTCTTCCCAATCACCACACCTGCTTCCTCCCTCATCAAACCACAATTCAACAGCAGGTCCATACCTCCATAAAGACTCAAGGCTCGGGGAATACATTGCAAGATTCTGAGATCAATGTTGATGTAGTTACTACTATCAATCGACTTGTGTACAATCAGCCTGTCGGGTTTTTCCCAAATGATCAGAGGTGCCGACTATAGCTGGCAACAATGATTGTTTTTTGATGACAGGGAAAGCTGTGAGAATACAATAACACAGAGGGAAGGATTCCCCCATCCACCTCCAATGTGTGGATGAGGGGAACTGGATCATTGTATGGGCTGCTTTAGCCTCAAAGTGCTCCTGACACAGATTTCTGCTGCAATTAAAATCACTTCTGAATATGTGGAGACAACATGAAAGAATAAAAGTGATTTTTACATTGTTTTGGCTATAAACACAACACACATTTTTAAATTAAGTGCTTTATAAAATAAAGAGAAATAAAGGTGGCTTACCTCTACTGCTTCCCAGCCCCACTGCCTGTATTTTGGGTCATGTGTGAATCTCCACATGTACATATAAGTTTCAATCACCTCTGGTCGCAAAATATAATATTTTTCATTTTGTCTGGTAGCAATAGCTTCAACTCCCCCATCAAACCTAAAAGCTTCTGGTCCCAACTTCATTGCTAAGTAAACAGAGAGTAGAGAAAATAACCAAGTCCAGTTAGATAAACATCAAGACTAGAAACAGGCTGTACATTTCATAAAAAGTTCAAGCTGTGTGTAAGGTTTCCAGATAATAATAGCCACGGAAGGCGGAAAGCATGCAGACTTTTCCTTCTCTTATTGGAAACTGGGATAGGCCAGGTCACACACACATGCGATTATTTGAAATAACTGATAATACAGAATTTGTGACATATCACTAACAGATCATGACAAATTCTATGATGAACCATCATTCTCTACTAGTTAAGATGAGCCTAAAACTTTATTGAAGTGATGCCGCTACCTTGGAACTAGAATGCATCAAAAGGTCACATGCTAGTTCCAAGATGAACGCATCATTATTGAGAATTGCCTATAGGCTAGAATCTTGACTGCTCACGCAAATGCGAGTATAGCTAAAAGGCAAAAGGTTTTTTTTTTTTTTTTTTTTATTTATTTAGTTTTGGATAGAATGGAGAGTTATTAGAAGACCTGTCAGGTTTTCTTATTACAGTCTCTGTCCCAGTTAGGGAGACTCACCCCATTTGTCCTGTTTGCCAGGGGGGATTCAAGGGATTCCCTAAATTTGCAGCAATTTCTTCTCACTTCCTGTTTTGGATTTCGGACAGGAAATGAAGGTAAATCTCCCCAATGGGTGGCAAAAAAACCTGACAAGGTTAACAACTCTCCCTTGCTCTCTCCCAAAATGAGAAAAAAAAGGCTTGCCTATAGTTCTACTTTGACTCCCCACATAGATTCATCTGCTGAAGTCCTATTTTAGTCCATTCAAGTTTCTTATTTTAACTGAAACCCTGATGAAGGTGTTCTGGCCCCAAAAACACACTGGATGTATTTTTTAATGTAAACCAATAATTTGGACTCTTATGTGCATGTTTATTTCTGGTAACCTGCTGCGTACTCACTCAAGGGTAGCCCTGTCTGTTGTGAGCAGCCTAACCTGAGCCAATGAGCTCTCCCAATGTTTTTTTTCCTCTCACTATTTGGGATGAGCACACACATCAAAGTCCCAGTCCCTTTTTCTTCATTGGGGAATAACAAAAATAGGACAAGAAGGCAGTAACTAGACATAACGACCTAAAGTCTAAACAGATTTGACTTGGCTTAACACAGTCAATTAATGTTCTACAAAGAATGTCTATATCACCCATATACTGTATACTATACTGATGAAGGACCTGAATACCAATTTGCCAGATCATCAGTGCTGTTACTGTGCAAAGGTGGCTGAGCGGTACAAACGTTTAGCAATACCATACCAGTGCAGCTACATCAGTCTGAGCAGGTCAGCTGCTTTCACCCTTTCACTAGAGAAGGATATTAGCCTTGGAGCTCACACCTTCAAAAACAGGTTAGCAATGAAACTTCTTAAATTTCTATCTTAACAAAACCTCTTCAATATCAATTCAGTGTAACTGGGTTCAGCACCTCATGGATAAGGGATTGGTTTCCTGAATCGGGTTCCCGTTATCCGTCAGCTTAAATCTGACTGGTGGCTGTGATGCAGCACATTAACTGAACCTGTGCTGAAAAGCTCAGGGTTTCCGAATGCGAGAAAATGGCAAGGCATGCACAGTGAATGTTTTTAGGAATCATTATACGTACATGAGGAAAAAAGGGTTTTCAGATCACTCACAAAAAGAATGAGGTAGACTGGTACACTGTGGCAATGTGGGTAAAAAATGCAAGCCCCAAGTAGGTAGACGGTATTTCCTACAGGGTTGATTTTGTCTGGGATAAACTTAGTGCACAACCAGGACAAAGGTAATCATGAAAAAAAGGCAAAACAGTGCAACTACTTCTGACAACTTTGTGTGTTCCGCATGCTTTTCACAGAGGACTAAAAAAATAATAAACATTTATGACCCACTTTATTACTAGGAGAGCAAATTGATGGACTAGTGCTTAAAATAATGTAAATGCTAGAAGTGCTGTATTTGGATATTTTACCACTGAAAGTGCATTAAGTTTCATAAATTAAGAGGAAATGTATGAGACAATTCAGCAATTTATGACCATTTTATGCTGGTGCCATTTCAAACTAAAAAATGAAGAAAATACATGTAAAACATGATATTGCTGCTTTGTAATTTACAAGAGTAAAGAGTATTTTTTTTTTAGAAATCCCACATATCCACCATGGACACAGACTGCCCTGTGTGTTCTGCTATACAGTACATTGTGGACCGTAACATTTAACACAATTCCTATTGTTTCTGGGACTTGCATTAAAGGAACAGCAAAAGTGCAGTTGATTTTTGTATTGTATGGAATTTTTAAATTACTTAAGCAAGCCATAGATTATACAAATTTCTTTTCTTCCACCACGGCCAGAAGGAAAGAAAATTGCTTGATTTCTCCATCAACAGTGCCAGTCAGTGTTGATGTGGGAATCCTTCCTGCAGCGCTACTCTGTTCTGCCAGTGGGGAGCCTTTCCTGCCAGTAGAACGCAATGGTCACTTCCGGTGGCTATAGCTGCCAGCAGTGATTGCATGCAAAAAAAAAATCTGACAGGCTGGTTGTACTCAAGTCGATCAAAGGATCGACTTGAGTACAAACAAGCCTGCCCATAGAAGGATCAAATTTTGCCCACTCCCTGCTGAACCGGCCGAGGTTTGATCCATCTATAGCTGGCTTTATTCAAGCTTTTTGCAATGTAGTAGCACTAGAAGAGATTAATTCAATGCAAATTGTTTTCCTGATCCTTCCTAATGGCAACAGCCCAAAACAGTAGCCCACTAGCAAAAAAGTATGTAAATGGCTTACCTGTGCGATCATAGGACTCATGACAGGTCCGTGCAATCTCTGCAGCCAATTCTATATGATGTCCTGTTTTATCATTTGGTGCACCATCAGCCCCAAGAGCAAACATGCCACCAGCAAAACATGTTAAATGGCCCATTTTATGTTCGAGAAGACCACCTTTCCACTCGGCAATGTAGGTCAAGCCATTACTAGATTTACGAATTAAATGAGTCTCAATGGCCTATAGAAAGTAAAAAAACAAAACTAAAACAAGTTAACAAAAATTTCATAACTGTAATAGACAATTTAAGCTACTATAATCATTTACTTTAATATATTCTGGCATGCTTAAATTTACTCTCCATCCTTGTCTAGTCTTTTTTAATCTAGTGGCCACCATCAATTGCAGATTTTAAAGAAAGCATTCTTCAACCACTTGCCCTCCGGAGGATTTATCCCTCTTCCAGACGAGGCCATTTTTTGTGATTATTTTATTCACATTTTCAACTGCTTGCTATAAAAAATCCCCTGTGGGGATTGTGAGGATGGGGGAGAGAGATTCTTTTTGCCATCTGTACACCATGGGGAGATTTTGCTTCACCTCCGGTCCCATAGCCAAAATGGGAAGTGAGGGATCATCTAAGGACATATCTCTGCAGATGGGTTCAAAGGGTGGTTTATACAGGGCAAAAAGAACCAGATCAAGGTCCTAAGGAAGAACAAGGTGCTGCAGGTTGGGGGGGGGGGGGGCAGGGGTACTGATTAAAGGCTTTGACAAGGGAGAGCAAAACTAGAGGTTTTTGAAAAAAGAATGGACAAGACCGAACAAACCTGTCTGAATGGCCAACAGCTATCACATAGTGCCTGACACCATGTACCATGTGATTAGCTGTAGCCAATCACAGCATCACAATAATCATCAAGCTGTCATGAATGCAAGCCATTTATGACAGTTAAAACAATTACTTATAACAGTGATCATGACTGTTTAAAGCAATAGTGTGGAAAAAAAAAAAAAAAAAATCCCTGATCACTCCCCCCCAAAGTATCACTATGGTGACACTGAACTACTTTGATAACAGTATGTAAAAACAAAAAAAAAAAAGTTTGAACATTTACTTTTTTTTTTTTTTATCAAATATACTATCACTAGTCAGTATCTGGTGACAGTATATAATTATGAAAAAAACACATTTCATTTAATTTCTTTATTGTCCAAAACAAACGTGAAAAAAAAAATTACAACTTCAAGAAACTTGCCACACCTTTTATTACATTCCTTGGACTGTCTACTTTTCAAAAAGAGGTCATTTGTACTGTCCTGGCATTTTAGGGACCCAAGAAATGAGAGAGAGGCGGTCAGTACATCAGGACTGATCAATTTTCAAATATTTATACCATAGTTTGTAGACTCTAACTTTCACACAGACTAAATAATATACACTGATTTTGGTTATTTTTACCATAGAAAATTTTATAATAGAAACTAAGAAAAACCTGTTTTTTTTCAAAATTTTTGGTATTTTTTATTGTTTATATTGCAAAAATAAAAAACCTAGTGTTTTGCATAACCAAGCAATTGCCAGTTGAAGTAACAGTGCTGAATAGCAAAAAAAAATGCCCTGGTCATGAAGGGGGTAAAACCTTACAGAGGTTAAGTGGTTAATGACTGAACATCTTCATTTGTATAGTGAGATATTGGTTTTAGGACAGTGTCCGCATCAACTATCAGAAAAAAACACTTATAATGATGAGCCGGAGATGGAACAAGTGCGACAATGCTAAGATTATTGTGCGCAGCAGAAATGAGTATGTCAACATTAGTAAGCATATTGCGTAAAGATGCAACTTCAGATATACAGGAGTCTGGGGGTTAGAAATCTTCCACAGTCTCCTCGAACACTGCTTCTGCGTCTTCTTCATTCCCTTCTTTGTCCTCCTTTTCTTGGCAGGGCATATCAGGAACCGACTCAAGTAGACATGGAGGACCTAAAGAAGAGGCTTGGTGTTTAGCTGCCTTTATTAGGTAGGCCCTTATTGCATGCATCATGGCAAAAGGGCAGGAAGAAGGGCCTGAGTATCTTATAAGGGGCTCTAGGAGGAAGTGGCGGTAAGTGTGCAACCTGTCATGTGAAGTAACACCTGGTCACCCAGCTCTATGTGGCTGAGCTTTAGCGCGAAGTTTGAAAAGTGTACACTGTAAAGCAATACATTCAAAACGTAGCCCAGGTTCTTACAGCAATGGTCAGAGATACTACAGGGTGGCCCTGACTTATTTGTCCATCACGCTGGACCCTACAGAGTCCAGTGTTCGCTCATTACAGTGAGTACACCCTTAAAGGGGTCTTCAAGTTCTAAGTACCATAGCAATGAACAGCTGGCTGGAGCTGTATAGTGCCCAGCAGCTGACTACACGCATTACACAGTGCCAAGGTGAGTGCCCATGATCCAGTGCCAGAAGCAACACAGGCCAAGCCTATGGTGTAGGGTCTGGAAATGATTGCTAAGGTTTTACCAAGATTGCACCTATCCAGATGTACTGCTTCTATTGTAGTATTGTGTTTTCTGTGGTTGGAAAACAGTGGAGAACAACTGATAGAAGAATCCAAAGAGTTATTTCTCTGTACGTGAGAAGTCCACCACCTTAGGACACTAGTAAAAAATTGGGAACGCATGGATTTAGGTAAGGGTTATAGGGGAGGTGCCCAATGGGCATGCACTCAAAAGGTTTGCAAGTGTCCATTTATCTGAAGATATGAGCCCATAAATACTCTGCCTGGGTCTTGTACTGATTAAGATAAACCTCTCTTTTTTACACATTACATCAGGAAGACACAAATACAAAGCTAAAATGCTTATCTGTAAACCGTTTCATCTGCCAGACAAAATGTAATTCTGTTCAGTTTTTCCAGTATTTTGCACAGCCCTGCAAGACTGCACAGGCAGGTTGGTGACCTCAATTTTCTTCATTGCAGTATGAAATACAGTCTGATCACACAATGGCCTACAGGCCTACTGACTGAAGAGGATGAGGACATCATCATTCTGCTCTCACTCTTACTCTGACAGCACCGTGCAATGTCAGGCCTTGATTGGCTTACACTGTTCTGCAGTGCAGTGGATTAGCAGATTGTATAAATACAGTTTCAAGTAGTTATGCTAGTAGCATTCAGATATACAAATTTTTTTTTTTCACCGAGTCTATAACTGAATTAAATGGTATTTGATTTCAGTTCAGCTTTAAAGTGGTTGTAAAGGATGAAGTTTTTCTTCTTACCTTCATGCATGAAGGTAAAAAACGTTTAGTGTGTAGCTCCCCCCCACAGCCCCCCCCCCCCCCCCCCCAATACTTACCTGAGCCCGATCTTCATCCAGCGCTGTGCACAGGAGCCTCAGCTCTCCCAGGTCTCCCTCATTTATTGAGGCACAGTAATGGGAGCCATTGGCTCCCGATGCGGTCAATAAGAGCCAGTGAGGAGGGAGCGGAGGCGGGACTGAGCCATGTTCTGTGTGTTCCATAGACATACATAGGAGGTTCAGGAGCAAGCACAGTTTGTGCTGCAGGCACTCAGCAAGGGGGAGGGGCCACAAGCGCCAGTGGGGGAGCAATGAAGGAGGATCTGGGTTGCTCTGTGCAAAAAAAATATTACACAGAGCAGATAAGTATGACATGTTTGCGGTTTTAAAAGAAAAAAAAAAAAGAAAAGACCTTTAGAACCACTTTAACCACTTGCCCTCCAGAGAATTTACCCCCCTTCCTGACAAGGCCATGAACTGATAATTGCACGGCCGTGGAACGCTGTATATAAATTACATTTATGTTCTTTTTTTCCCCAAAAATAGAGCTTTCTTTCTGTGGTATTTGATCACCTCTGCGTTTTGATTTTTTGCGCTATAAACAAAAAAAAGACCGACAATTTTGAAAAAAAAAAAAAAAAAAAAAAGTTTACTTTTTGCTATAAAACATATCCAATAAAAAAAAAAAAAAAAAAAAAACAAAAGCCTTACCTCATCGTAAATTTAGGGCAAAATGTATTTTGCTACATGTCTGTGCTAAAACAAAAACAAAAAAAATCCCAATATATGTAAATTAACCACTTGCCCTCCTAAGGATTTACCTTCTACCCTTCTGACCAGGCCATTATTTTGCCTTGCAGCGCTGCGTTACTTTAACTGACGATTACGCGGTCATGCAACGCTGCACAAAAAATGAAATTTATGTCCTTTTGAGTCTGAATTGAGCTTTCTTTCGGGTGGTATTTGATTGCCTGTGCATTTTTAATTTTTTGTATAAAAAAAAAAAATTGAGAAAAACTTTCTGCTATTTAATTAATTAATTTTTTCTATTAAATATGTCTAGTAAAAAAAATGTTTTAAAAAATCTAACTTAGTCAAATTTAGGCCAAAATCTATTCTACATGTCTGCTAAAAAAAAAAAAAAAAAAAAAAAATCCCAATACGTGTAAATTGGTTTACCTGAAAGTTATAGCGTTTATAAATGGTGGTATAGATACTGGAATTTGTAAAAAATTTTAGTAAACAAAACAGTCCTCCCCGTTGGAGATGCTCGGTAATCACCGTCCGGGACCCAGTGATTGACAGCCACGTGCGCCCCTTACCCGCAAATGCAAAATTACATGTATATATACGTGATTTTGCGCACCCCGTGCTGCCCTGTAGCAGTATTTCTACTATAGGGCAGACGGGAAGCGGTTAATTAGTTTAGGTGAAAGTTATAGCGTCTACAAATGACAGTATATATGCTGGAATTTTTATACTAGTAGTGGTGGCAATCAGCGACTTATAGCAGAACTGCAGTGGGCATTCTGACACTGGGTGGGAACTGACTGCCACTGACATCCGCCAGTGTCACAAATACAGTGATCAGTGCTAATAAGCACCACTAACACTGGGCAGAAAGGGGTTAACATTTGGGTGATCAATGGTTAGCTGCGTTTTACTATGTGAGCTGCTTTACTAGGGAGACATGCTGGTTTGCATTTCTCTGTTGGGGAGCGAAATACAAAGCAGAATGTCCTTGTTGGCAAGACAGAAACCTGTGTTTACACAGGTCTCTCCCCTGTCAGCTTTACACGGCGATCGCCGGCAGGGAATCTCCATCTGGGACTCGGTGATTGAATCCCTAGCAGCCAATGGCGGCGTGGGTAGGGCGGTGCGCGCAAGCTCCCTACCCAGAAATGCAAATCACATAATATATATATATATATATATATATATATA